TTAGGCATTTGATTTTTTAAAGATTTTCTTTATTAGAGAGAGAGAGCATGAGTGGGGGAAAAGGCATAGGGAGAGAGACAAGCAGACTCCACTGGCCAGATCCCAGGACTCTGAGATCATGATCTGAGCCAAAGTCAGATGCTTAACTGACTGAGCCACTCAGGCAGCCCTGCATTTGATTTTTTTGATGCTATTGGAAATGCTTTTTTAAGTTTAATTTCAGTTTGAAGTTTGTTGTTAGATACAACTTACTTTTTTACTGTGGTAAAATATACATGACATAAAATTTGCCATCTTAACTATTTTTAAGAGTACATTTCTATGGGGTTAAATACATTCACATTGTTATGTAACCATCACTACCATCCAAATCCAAATCTGTTTCATCTTCTCCACCTGACTCTGTACCCATTAAACACTAACTTCCCATTCCCTCCTCCCCTTCCCCTGGCAAACACCATTCTACTTTCTGCCTCTATGAATTTGACTACTCTAGAAGTTTCATATAAGAGGAATCATACAGTGTTTGTTCTTTTGTGACTGGCTTTTTTCATTTAGCATTATGTCCTCAGGGTTCATTCATATGGTAAATTATGTCAAAATGTCCTTCTTTTTGAAGGCAAAATAACGTTCCACTTGTGCTACATCTATCAATGGACACTTGGGTTGCTTCCACTTTTTGACTATCGCAAATATGTTGCTATGATCATGTGTGTACGAGTATCTGTTGAATTTCTTCTTTCACTTCTTTTGGGTATATACCCAGAATTGGGCTTACTGTGTCATATGGTAATTTTATTTTTAATATTTTGAGAATTGCCATACCATTTTCTACAACAGCTGTACCATTTTGCATTCCCTCCAGCAGTACACAAATGTTCCAATTTCTCCACATCCTTGCCAACACTTGTTATTTTGGTTTTTTGTTTTTTAATAAAAGTCATCCTAATGGGTATGAAGTGGTCTCTCATTATGGTTTTGATCTGCATTTCCTTAATGACCAGTGATGTTGCACATCTTTTCATGTGCTTGTTGGCCATTCGTATATCTTCTTTGGACAATTGATTTTTGTATCCTATGACTGTTCTAAACTCATGTATTCAAGTAGCTTTTTGGGTAGATTCTTTATGACTTTCTATATACATAATCAGCCTGTTTAAAAATGCAGACAGCCTTAGCACTTTTGTTCTAATCATTATGCCTTTTATTTTTTATTAACAGATTTTCCTTTTAGAGCAGTTTTAGGTTTATGGAAAAATTGAGCAGAAAATAGAGTTCCCATGGCTCCCTGCTCCCCATCCTGCTGCACACAGTTTAACTTATTATTAACATCTTGCATTAGTGTGGTCCATTTATTATAACTGACAAACTGATATTGATACATTATTATTAACTAAAGTCCATAATTTATATTAGAGTTCATTTTGTGTATGTAGCTCTATGGTTTTTGTCAAATATATAATTTCATGTATCTGCATTTATAATATCATACAGAATAGTTCTAATACCATAAAACTCTCCTGTGCTTCACTTATTTATCCCTCATTCCCTCCACCAAACACCTGCCAACCATTTACCCTCTCTATAGTTTGCCTTTTCCAGAATGTCATATAGTTGGAATTATGTAATATGTAGCCTTTTCAGACCACTTTTACTTCACAATATGCATTTAAGTTTCCTCCATGTCTTTTTCGTGGCTTGACAGCTCATTTCTTTTCCTCACTAAATATTCCATTGTGGTGTGGATGTACTGCAGTAAGTTTATCAGTTTACCCTTTGGAAGGACTTCTTGGTTGCTTTCAACTTTTGACAATTATGAATACAACTGCTGTAAACATTCATACGCAGATTTTTTGTGTAGGCATACGTTTTCAACTCACTTGACTAAATTCAAAGAAGCTCAATTGCTGGCTCATATGGGCAGCCTACTTTAGTTTTGTATTAAACTGCCACACTGTCTTCCAGAGTGGCTGTGCCATTTTGCATTCCCACCAGCACTGAATGAGAGTTCCTGTTGCTCCACATCCTAGCCAGAATTTGGTGCTGTCAGTGTTTTGGACTTTAGACTTTCTAATAATAGATGTATAAGGTTATTTCATTTTTAATTTTCAATTCTGTAATAACATATGATGTTGCACATCTTTTAATAGGCCAATTTGCCATCTGTACATCTTTTCAGGTGAAGTATCTGCTCAGGGCTTTTCTTAATTTTTAATGAGTTGTTCATTTTCTTAGTGTTGAGTTTTCAGGGTCCTTTGTCTTTTTTAGATAAATCTTTATCAGATGTGTCTTTTGCAAATATTTTCTTCCAGTTTGTGGCTTGTCTTCTCATTCTCTCAGCAGTGTCTTTTGCAGAACAGAAGTTTTTATTTTAATGAAGTCCAGCTTGTGAGTAATTTCTTTCATTTCTCTAGGAGTACTACACTTCTGTGATCCATTTTGAGTTAACTTTTGTGACGGGTGTAAGCTCAATGTCTAGCTTCACTTTTTTTTTTTTTTTTTTGCATGTGGATGTCCAGTATTTTCGACATCATTTGTTGTGAAGACTTTCTCCATTGGATTGCCTTTGCTCCATTTTCAAAGTTCAGTTGACTGTATCTGTGTGGGCCTATTTCTGGGCTCTCTCTTCTGTCCCATTGATCTATTTGTCTTTTCTTTCAACAATACTGCACTGTCTTGATTACTGTAGCTTTACTGTAAATCTTGAAATTGCACAGTGCCATCTCATTCTGGGTTTGCCATGTGGGACAGAGAGAAGCAGAAGACAAGGCAGGATGGAGACCCTGAATGGTGGGATCAGAACTGAGGTTGGAGATGTATCGGGTGAGGGGCTTGAGAGCATGGGGTGGGCATCCTGGGAGCAAGGAGATGAAATGCCACCTGGGAATCCTTTCTCAGGGCTGGAAGGGACCACTAGGGGATGGGCCCTCACTTGCTGAACTATCTTCTTAGGGTCCCAGTATGCTGGACCAGTCTGAGGGTCATTTCATTTCTTTGTTGATCAGGCCTAGGGCACATATCTCTTGGGACACAGTGTCATCTCGGGGAGGAGAAAGAATGGGGATACAAAGTCCTCCAGAGTGCCCTTAGGCCCCCTCCTGCCCCAAGGCTGCAAGCATCACCACCCCCATCCTCACTTCTGTTAGTGTAAGGGAAAGATCCTTCAGCAGCTGAATTCTCAATGACCGTGAGGAAGAGAAGGGAGGGTCTGTGATGATCTATGAGGTGTCTGACCCTGAAAGCTCCATCTGCAGCCTCACCTCTGTGGAGGAGGTATCCGTGGCTCTACCCACCCAGGCCAACTCTAGCTGACCTGGCTGCTAAAGGGGATCCTCTCTGTGGACTCCCATCCTATGTCTCATTCACTTCCTCTGCCTGGGGCTGGGAAGGGCTTAACTCAGCGGTTTCCAAATCATGGCTGCACACTGAATTCCAATGCCCAGGCTTCTCCCCAGACTACTTAAAGCAGAATCTCTGGGTGGGCCCAGGCGTTGGTGTGTTTTGTATCCCAGAGGATTCCAATGTCCACTCTAGGTTGAGAATCAGAGACTTAAAGCCTTGCCAACCTTGACTTTAACTGCTTCTCACTGCAGGGGTGGCGCCTGCAGGCGTAGTTATGCAGAATTCCATCATGTTCATCTGCAGACCCAACTAGTCTCCTACCACTCATTCCTGCAAGGCGGGCAGGTGAGAGCCATGTCCAAAGCTCCTGAAGGGGCTCCTTTGGAAGAGCAAGGTACCTGGCTGCATCATTGCCACCTGCAGCTACTGAAGGCGTTGGGTGTCAGACTGATCCCTGAACCCCCACACCTGCCATAGCTGTTCTGGAGACACCCTCCCCTGAGCCCCAAACACACACACGCTCGCAAGCATGCACGCTCGCACACACACACACAGGCGCCCCTGAAGGGAGGGAAAGCCTAACCCAGCTGCAAGGCCCATGAGGACCTCTGACATCTGTACACCTCCCCAACTGGCCCTCCCACCCCTCGGGCAAGGCCACCCATCACAGACCCCTAGGGAGGGTCAGAAGCCTTAGACTTCCAGGAGGCAGGTTCAGAGACAAAGAGCTGAGGGACCTGCTTTAATGCTAAAGCAGAGGCTGTGAGAGACTGGTACACAGAGGGCTGAGACTAGACGCTGAGTGTTGGCAGGAGACTCAACCCTCGGAAGCCCATTGGCAGCCCCCTGAGGTGGGCCTTGCAGAGGCTGTGGCAGTCTGTGGGAGGGTTGGGGCCAATACGGGGGATCTTGGGGGGGATGCCAGAACAGCTGCTTCTGGGGATGTGGTAAGATTTAGAGGTTGTATCCCCAAACCAATGACTTCCAGTGCCATTGGGACAGTCCTGCGCGCCCCCACCCACCCACCCCTACTCTCCCTCTGCTTGTTTGCTCAGCCCCACCTCCTTGTACTTTCTCTCCCCTCCCTCACCACACCTGGTTCTCCCAGGGAGAGGCCAGCAGAGGGGAGGGAAGACTTGTCTCAGCCCCTGGGACCGAAGGGGCAGGCACAGCTTGCCGCTCCTCAGCTCCTGCCCTGGCCTTCCCCAGGGCTGACTCTGGCGGACTATCCCCCAGTGAGGCACAGCGCCTGGCCTGCTGTTACTCAGCTGGGTGCCCTGTCCTCCTGGCTCCCTGCCAAGCCTGCACTGGCCCTGAGGGCCCCGCCCCGCACAGGGCTGTGGAATCCTGGCCTTCCCAGCCGGGTCTGGCTGCAGCCTGACTCTCTGGTGTCCTCCCCTGAATGGAGAAGCCCAGGGAGGGGCTGCAGAAAGATTAAGCCCAGTGCATAGCCCCGCTTGTGGAGCTGGGATCAGGCTGGCTAAGGTGTCAGAGCCTATCCTGGGCCCCTGGGGTCTCTTTTGGGTGCAAGATGGCTCAGGTTTGCAGTAGGTGCAAGGGCCTAGGGTGGCATGCCCTGGGATGGGCTCTAGACCATTATTGAGGGGCTGATCCTTCTTTTATGGGTCTGATTTCCAAAGGGCAAGACTGTGGTCAGTAAGTGTCTTTATTGGAAGAGAGATCCAGTCTCCTTGGCTCTGCTAGCTCCCTAGGTCAAGAGGATTTCGATGTCAAGCTCCAGCCGGCTGGCTTTGACCTCATAGCGGCCCCGGATCAGGCCCCGGGTTTGGCTGGTATGCCAGCGCCAGTGAGACTGGATGATGCAGGCTGCGTGGCGTGCCTGGAGAAACCGTCTGCGGGCCTGCCACATTCGAACCTGTGCCTGCACCTTCACCACTGCCCACTCCTGGCAGGTGTAGAGTCTTAATGCCAGGCGCCGTCTCTGCTCCAGCATCTTGGCCTGCATCGACCTCCACCAGCACTGGATGACCCAGGCCCTGAGTGCCGCGTGCAGTAACGTCCGGCGCACCATGTTGCCACGCCACCATGACTGAATCTTTATGGCTGCCTTCTCTGACTGATCAGGGGAGGGAAGAACACGGACATGCTCAGTGGGGTACCCTCCCCTTGCTGTCCCCATCTGTGGTGCTGGGAACAAAGGGGGCCTGGCACAAGTGGCCCTGCCCCCTCGTTTCCAGGCCCATCCACCTTATTTCCAGTCTCCCACTCATCTGGAGTCACTGCTCATCATCCACCAGACAGACCCCAGCCATGCGGGCCTTACTCACATTTTGTGTGTCCATGGCCCCGGTCTTCAGAGTCCACTCATCTATCAGTTAGGACACCTTAGTCTTTAGCCCCGCCCTCAACTGTTAGTCACCCCCCTTCATTAGACTCCGCCCACCTGCACACAAGGCTCCCCCTCATCAGGTGTTATCCATACACATTTTTGCCACATCTCTCTCCTCTTGTTCATGTCTCCTTATGGACTGACCAGTCCCCTCATTTGTTGGTTCCCATCATTTGGGGGGCCTGCTGTTATCTCTTGCTTGCAGTATTTTTCTCAGACCCCACCAGCATCTTAAGTCCTGTTCTTTCTACACCTTCCAGTCACTTCTTTCTGCTCCTGCTGGTGGCAGCAAAGAGAGAGGCACACAGTTCTCCTTCAAGTAAGGGGTTTTACTTTAGGAATACCCATAGGCAGTTTGGATTTCCAGAAGCTTAAGTGGCAGAGCCTGCGGGAGGGCCCTCAAGCACTGTGTTCACAGGCGAGTATGATTTTATGTAAAATTTGTGAAAGCAAAATCCTTTAGCTGCAATTGGAGAGAGGCTCTGTCTCCATCTCTCTGATGCCGTTTGTCGCCCTTCTATCGGGGGTTTGGGACAGGCTGCAGCTTCTTTGGGGACATGACTAAGGAGAAGCAGAGCTAAGATGTGCGTACTTAGTTTGGGTTAAATGAGGCAGATTTATCTGGTTCACAGGCACGCCTGGGAATTAGACATGTCCTTGCTAGCCATTCTGCTAGGACATGGCTCCTACCAGTTACCATGCCACAGGATGAATTTGTGGGGACAAAGGCTGCTACGGTGGTATGAATGATATGAACGTGTCCTCCAGCGCCTGGCACCAGAAGTAGGTGGGGGGACGAAGAGGGAGGTTTGAAAAGTGTGGAGACAAGAGTCGGTCTGTAGAAGGTTCTTCCTGTTATCCATTTATGTAAAACCACAAATGGAAGATTCTGTTCTCAGCTAATGCCTGATTAAAACTGAAGTTTTGTCTTGTTGGGAATATACTTGATAATGCAGTGAGATAATTATAGATTTTTATTTATTTGAGAGAGCGAGAATGAGAGAGAGAGCACATGAGAGGGGGGAGGGTCGGAGGGAGAAGCAGACTCCCCACCGAGCGGGGAGCCCGACGCGGGACTCGATCCCGGGACTCCAGGATCATGACCTGAGCCGAAGGCAGTCGCCCAACCAACTGAGCCACCCAGGCGCCCAGCAGTGAGATAATTACAAAACATACCATTCTTTTTTCTTATTTGGCTTGAATTTTATGAAAGAGAATTGATCAGAATTCCTATGATTTCAGGGCAGCAACTAGTAGAGCTACTATGAACAGTGCATAAGGCAGCGTGAGAAATAACATTTTATGCATCTGGAGCATCCATAATAAACATGTTTTTATCGAAAATGATATTGCAGGGGTGCTGGGTGGCTCACTCTTTAAGCGTCTGCCTTCGGCTCGGGTCATGATCCCAGGGTCCTGGGATCGAGCCCCGCATCGGGCTCTCTGCTCCGCGGGAAGCCTGCTTCTCCCTCTCCCACTCCCCCTGCTTGTGTTCCCTCTCTCGCTGTGTCTCTCTCTGTCAAATAAGTAAATAAAATCTTTAAAAAATGATATTGCAAAATCATACGAAGAAGTAATCACAGATTATGCTGCAAAAAATGTTGGGAAAACATGGTAGAGGTGGGACACTGACTTAATATAAACATTATGTTATGCTTTGGTATTTGCCAAGTTTTGAAAATTTACAATTTATTGTGGTTTCTTTGTTTGTCCTACATACTCACTTGCCTAATTTTAAGCCTGTAATTTTGCATTCTTTTTCTTAAAGTAGGACTTCCAAATTATATAAGCTTCAGGTCCCACAAAACCTGGCTCTGCCCTGTCTTGTGCAGCCAGGTCTCCTGGGAGCTCAGGGAAAGCTTTGTTTCTAGGATTCAGAGTTAGGACCGGAAGTGCAGACACAGGTGATGCAGAGATGCTGGGAGTCCTTTGGGATTTGGAAGGCCATTCTGGCTCTGGCTTTAGCATGTGTCCTAGCATTCATTTTTCTGCATGTGAGTTTGCTGGGGGCCCACTGCTTGCTGGGCTATGCTGTGTCTGTGGCTTCTGTTTTTGTGTATTTGAGGCACTGGCCATTGGGTGTCTCACGGGTTCTGACCCTGTTGTCAACCACACAACCACTCTTGCATCATGTTAAAAGTCCTAAGCGGCAGACCCTATTGCTTCCTTTAATGACTGTCAGTCACCAGCGCTGGTATCAGTCTCTCAAAGGCCTCCATCGCTGCACTAAGCTGTGCATCAGGGGGCATCAGGGATCCATCCACTCCCAGCCCAGTCCGCCAGACTGTGCAGAAGGGATCCACAGGCTAAGGGTGTAGCCAGTGCTCTGAGGCTTAGTCCATCTGGGCCAGGTTGCCATGGTCAAGATGCCAAATCCCACTATTCCTTGTGGATCTCTCCCCTGCTCCAACTCTGGCCTGGTTGGGTTGTTGCCAGAATATTCTGGCTTTGTCTCCTTCTTAGAAGTCTCTGGAAAAATCTGCTCGTCCCTTTTATGTTCACGTTTTTGCAGGTATTTACAAAGGGGCAGCAGATGAGGCCGAGGGGTCAGATCACAGTGCACGAGCCTCGGTCTCTGTTTCATCAGTTCTCCCCTCCGCAGCTTCCAGCTCTCTTCTGCTTGATTTCTTGCTCTGATTATAAATATGGTATACCTGTTGCTAAAATTTCAAATAATGCAGAAATATATAAGGTGGAAAGTGAATTTCCCATGAAATTTGGCCCTGAAATTCTTCCTCCGGAATTTATACCATGCACAGACTAGCTTAAATTTTCTATTAAAAATAATTTATTTATTTATTTATTTTTAAGATTTTACTTATTTATTTGAGAGAGAGAAAACACAAGTGGGGTGGAGGGGCAGAGGGAGAGGGAGAAGCAGACTCCCCACTGAGCAGGGAGCTCAATGTGGGGCTCGATCCAACCAAGACCCTGGGATCATGACTTGAGCCGATGGCAGATGCTTAACCAACTGAGCCACCCAGGTGCCCCCAAAATAATTTATTTTTAATTCATACATCTCATACTGAAATGCATACACTTCAAGCTGAAATTTCCCTTGGCAATCCTTTACATTATTACTGCTCCCCGCTAGGAGGGCATCCTGGACAATGAGTTATGCTTTTATATGTACCTAAAGAAATGTAAAACTGTTTTGAGTGTTGTTATGTATCTTTTTAAGTCCATTGGGGTAAAAATCATAGAACCCAACATTGACCATTTTTAACCATTTTAAAGGATATAATTGAGTGGCTATTTGTACCCACACCGTGTTGTACAACCATTGCCGATATCTACTTCCAGTTTCTGTCTTCAACTTGCTTTAGTTCTAATTTTGTCCCCCCAGACAGAAACCATGTAGCCATTACACAGTCACTTCCCATTACCTTTCTGGCACCCCAGGCCCTGGCAACCACGAATCCGCTTTTAGTCTCTATGGATGTGCCTATTCCAGATGTTGCATATAAATGGAATCAGAGGCCACATGCCTTTTATGACTTGGTTCTTTCACTTAGCTTGTGTTCCAGATTCATCCATGGCATATATAGCACGTGTCAGTCCTTCTTCAATTCCTTTCTATGGCTAAATACTATTCCACTGCATGGATAGACCACATTTTGTGCATCCATTCATAACTCGTCCGGTATTTGAGTGATTTTCACTCTTTGGTGATTGTGAATAGTATTGCTCTGAGCATTTGTGTACAAGTATTGGTTTGAACACCTGTTTTCAGTTCTTTTAGTTAGTTATATACCCAGGAGTGGAATTGCTGGGCCATGTGGGAATTCTGTGTTTAACCCTTTGAGGAAACATCAAACTGTTTTCCAGAGCAGCCAGACCGTTTCACATTCCCACCGGTCTCCACAAGCTTGCCAATGTTCATTATTTCCCATTTTTAAATACTATAGCATCTCATTTGGGGTTAGGATTTGCATTTCCCTACGGTAAATGATGTTGAATATCTTTTCATGTGCTTTTGGGGCATTTGTGTATTTTTCTTTGGAGAAATGTCTGTTCAAGTCCGTTGACCATTTTTTAATTGGCTTCTTTGTCTTTTTGTTGTTGAGCTGTACGTGTTCTTTATATATTCTGGACACTAGGTCCTTATCGGATATATGATGTGAAAATATTTTCTCCCATTTTGCAGGTTGTCTTTGCACTTTCCTCATAATGTCCTCTGATGCACAACAGTTCCTAATTTTGATGACATCCAGTTTATCTATTTCTTCTGTTGCTTGTGCTTTGGTGTCATAGCTAAGAATCCACTGCCAAATCCAAGGTCGTGAAGTATCACTCCTGTGTTTTCTTCTAAGAGTTTTATATTTTATTTCTTACCTTTAGGACTTCAATTATGAGTTAATATTTATATATGCTGTGAGATAAGAATCCAATTCCATGCTTTTGCAGGAGGTTACCCAGTTGTCCCAGCACCATTTGCTGAAGAGATTATTCTTTCCCCTTAGTCTTGGTAGCCTTGTTGAAAATTAATTGAACATAGAGCTATAGGTTTGTTTCTAGTCTTTCAATTCTAATCCATTGATCTGCATGTCTGTCTTTATACCAGTACCACACCATCTTGATTACTGCAGCTTTGCAGTAAGTTTTCAAATTAAGAAGTTTGTGTCCTCCAAATTTATCTTTTTCAAGATTGTTTTGGCTATTCTGAGACCTTTGCAATTCCATATGAACTTGAAGATCAGCTTTCTATTTCTGTAAAAAAAAAAAAAGGCAGTGGAAATGAAAGGGATAATGTTGACTCTGTAAATCAATTTGGGGAATATTAAGTCTTCTGACCCATGAACACAGAATGTCTTTCCATGTTTTTAGGTCTCCTTTAATTTCTTTAAACAAGGTTTTATAGTTTTAAGTGTACAAGTCCTGCACCTGCTTGGTTAAATTTATTCCTAAGTATTTTTATTCTTTTTGATGCTACTATAAATATAATTGT